TACCATTATCCTCTCCTAGATCATTTCAAACCTTTCCATCTCAACCCCTCCCCTAGCTGTCTACAGAGAGCTTTTATCTCCTATTTTATTTGCCAGTGTAGCGACTGTTGCCTGGGGGACTCAAGATGTGGAGAGTAACCACGGCAACAAGGCGGCATTTTACCCTGAGTTTACAGGACCTCTGACGTTTAATATTGGAGTTAGTTGAGAATGCTGGGAAGGAGGAGATGAAAATCTATTTTGACCAAGCTCTGCAGATGTTAGAGCAGAGGCAGCACTAACTATGGTGGGAATCTGTCAAGGAAGGTATTGCCTACAGAATATTCATGCAGAAAGATAGTATAAATGTACAGTACCATTGCCCTAAAAGAGACCCAACGAGGATGTTGGGAAGCCAAAGGAATAGGGACAGTTTTAAACAAAGCCAGAGGAAGTAGCAGGTTGCAGAGAGCTGGTAAGCCATATATACATACACTGAGTCCCTCTCACCTTCCTTTTCTCCTCCTCTGTCTGTGGTAGGTTTCTATGATCTGTTCACTATTGGAAGTATTCAATACCTGTTTTCCCTCCTCAGGAAGGAGAAAAATGAAGGGAGAATGCCCATTCTGTTTTCTATCACCTGCTATGCAGGGACTGGCATTCCAAATGAATTGTTGCTCAAATGATTGTCTTTTTGTTGCTTATAAATTTGTTACCCTTGATTTTTAAAAAAAAATGGTAGTTACCATCATTGACTAGTGTTATTTAATGATGGAGAGTTTGGGAGGGTTTTCTGCCTTTAAAGAGACAGAAGACTTTTTTTCTCTTTTGGTGAAGCTAAGATGGGGGAAGGGGAAACCCCAAATTCCCAAAGGAGAGGAAAAAAAGCATATAAATCATTATCATCCCCTAGACCAGTCAGTCAACTAGTAATTGGGGCAATATATTATTATCACAACTGGGATGATCATTATTACTGTACATAAGCCTTTTGTTTTACATGTATCTTGTGGCAGCTAGCCTCCCCTCCCCCACCCCCCAATGTTAGACCACTAGCCTCCTGACTTTGGCCTTTAGCCTTCTTCAGAGCTTTCTCCTATTACCTGGCCCAGCCAATCCACTCCAGAACAAGACCTCACCAAAGACCTGCCAACTTGAACCTTCTCCAGCACTATACTTCCCCAATATAAGATCTCCTCAACCTCCAACCCCCTCCCCCAAGGGCTTTCTCTCCAGCATGTTGCCAATATATAAACCCTGCTCCTTGTCCCCAACTGCCTGCTTGTTTTTGCCCACACACCTCGACATAAGTCAGTGTCTTACTTCATATTTACCACCTCTTTGCACTATGCTCTCTGAATTCTTGCTCCTTATTTAACAGTCTTCCTTTCATATAAAACTCTTTCTTACTCCTTCCATCTCATGGTACTAAGACCCAAGTTCTGCTTGCTGACTCTGTTTCCCGCTCCAACCTTTCCAATATTGGTTGCACTTCACTCATACCTCTGACTCACTGGCTGTGGTAGCAGTTGGAATGCCCCTTGCTCCTCATTGCCAGTTCTAGACTCTACTTCTATCACTGTCACTCAGCAGGATCTCCTCCTTTGAGGTGTATGGTTTCCAAACTTATCCCCCAATCCAAATCCTGATGGCTGTTATCTAATGAACTCTAGGACATTATCCTTTCCTCAATAAATTCAGTTCCTGGTTCATAGTTTCTCAATACCCCAACTCTTACATTCTTATTAGGGGACTTTAATATACATATTGATGGTCTCTCAAATACCCTAACTTCCATTTTTTTCAATCTACTCAGTTCACATGATTTATTCCTGCCATTCTTCCTGAGCTTCCTGCACAAAAAAATGATCATTCTCTTGATCTTGCCATCACCCACAAGTGTTCCACTTCTAAGGTCTTTAACTCCAAAATTCTTCAGTCTGATCATAATCCATAATATTCTATCTTTCCCTATGTATTTCCACACCTATGTTTTTTATCCTCACTATAACCTTCATTCCCTCCATCCTTAAGTTCTTTCACAGATTATTACCTTTTCATCAACTACTTTCTCCTCTTTTCATTATCTAAACCCCTCAGTATACAATTCAACTCTATATTCTTGAATCCCTTGCCCTTTGTCCTACCATTGGCAACATTTTGCCAAAACCCAATCTTGGGTCACTTCTACATTCTTCCTCATTCCCTCCGATTCATGTGCTGCTAACTAGAGCTGTAGGAAATCATAAGAGCATATCAGTTCCAATATAAATGTGTTATATAATCTCAACTACACCCTCACTGCAGCAAAGTGATCATTCTACCCCTCTCTAATCAACTCTCCATCCCACTCTCCACAGCAGCTGTACTAAACCCTCTTATATCTCCTGGAGCCTTCCTCCATCTCTACCTTCTCTGCTGAACATCTCAACTCATCCATCACTTAAAAAACTGAGGTTATTCAACAAGGGCTCCTTTTCTTCAACCCTCATCTCCCTTCATCTTGCCCCATTATTTCCTCCTTCAATAAGTCTCTGATGATGAGGTAGCCCTTTGGCTTGCCAGGAATAGTACCTCTATGTGCAAGGCTTTTTGAAGGACTGTGGCTGAGAAAGGGAAGGAGAGACATAGGATAATAGCTTGAGGGGATGGTAAGTAAGAGTCCAGTGAAGAGTTGTACAACTTTATCATCATAACCTAAGAGCTGAGTGTCATGCTTCCCAGAAGTTATCAAATCACTGTCATCTTAGGAAGGAAGGGGTTCTAAAGTCCAGTAGCTTCTCAGATTTAGCTTCCAGGAAGACAACTGATCAGGACAGATAACATTTGGATATAGTTCTGGTTGACCTTCTCTGTCCTTTCCTTATTCCATCCCCAGCTCAGAGTCTCTACTCTCAAAGTTCCTACCCCCTGAAAGGGCTCCATTTACCTCCAACTCCCCCTCAATTTGCAAGTCTCCTTTTCCCAGGGCCAGTTCAGACAAATCCTTCTTGGAAAGTCCTTGGGAGATGAAGGGGTGATATTGTTGGGAAGTGCTTCTTTTGAACCATATGAAGGTGAATGTGTAATTTGCCTGCAAGAAAGGGCATTCTTGAGTTAGCAATCCTGGAATGGCAAGAAGGGAGTTTTTATCCAGCCATCAAGGAAGAAGAGAGCAGCTCCTCAGCATAGGCCCCAAAAGGTGCACAGATTTGGTATTCTGCCCCCTTTCCCTATACAAGAGGGTCCCAGGGAAGAAGATGACATAGTTAGTGAGCTGGGGAACTGAGAGGGTGGTGGTGCACAGATGATCTCATTATCAACACTAGCACTAAGTTTACACTGGAAAGTTAGCTACCTTCCTACAAAGGACCCTGATCTGTGAGAAGGTTCAGTGACTGTGTTAGAAATATCATCCATGCTGTGGCCTAGATGTTCCTGTTACTTTTCCTGTCTGTGATCAATGTGGACACACTGTGAAATGCAAAGGTTTACACCATCCTTCCCACAAACCAATTCATTAAGAATTGGGACTTAGTCCTTACTTAGACAGGACTGTTTGTCTTTTTTTATTCTTTCTTTTTTAGTTTTTATTTACCGGAGGTCCCCCTCTGGTAACTTTCCTACACCAGGCCTTTCACACCCTTAAGATTAGTTTGTCTAGTAGGAGTCCTAAAGCCATTTAGGTGGAAGGTCAAGACCTTTAGGACCTTGGGGCCTCTTAGAAGTGGCCTGGTAGGAGCAATTTGCCTGGTAGTTTAGGCTAATTTTTCCTTAAAAGCATCCTTAGAATTAATCGACCGGGAAGAATTAGTTCAATTTCTTCAGTCCCTTTGGCTAAGTCATTGACTTAGCTACCTGATGACCTAAGTACAAAAGCCAAGAGGGGACAGGAGTAGCTGTCAGGCTTGACCAGCATACTAGCATGTCCAACACACCCAGCAGGGAAGCTGTGCTTAGCTATGTTTTAAATTTTTTTTTTCTTTCAAATGTCCAAAAGTGTAATGAATAATAAACTAGCCTCAGAATCCTTAGGACCAGTATTCAAATCTTACCTCTAACACCAGTATGATCATGTGATCACTTAACCTCTCAGTGCCCCCAGGGAAACCCTCCAAGATTTAAAATTACAGATATGCTGCCAAACTGCCCAGGTAGAGAGAATTTCTTTCATTTTTTAAAAAACATTTTATTTTATCTCATTAAATATTTCCCAATTCTATTAAATTTTTTTTAACATTAAAAAAAATTTGAGTTTCAAATTCTCCCCTGCCCCTCCTCCATCCCTTGGGAAGGCAAACTCACTCAAAATATTGTAGCTGGAGAGAATTTCTACATTAGGTGTTTCCAAATTTATGAGACCACAAATCTGGAATCCCATCCCTATTAACCGCCCAGTAGGTGTTTCTTGTCTACTGATATTTGCTTGCCAAGTCTCACTTTTTCAAATTTATACAACTTTTCTAACATACTTCTGTCTCTTTAGCAGAAATGTTCAGATCTCCCTTAAAAATCAACTTTCCTGACTTAAAAATAAGTGGATGAGAATCCTTACTAAGCCCTAGAGACCCAGAGGCTTTGGCATGATAAAATCAGAAGAAATGGGGACGCTTGTGGAAGGATCTGGAAGCCATTATTCAACCTCCAGCGTGTCGAGCTGGAGAGCTGCCCAGGGAGGGGGCACAGGACCCACCACCACCCTGCACCGGGGCGCCGGGGCCCCCCAGCCCGCTCTCTCCCGGCCAGGGGAGCTGCCGCCATTCATTGGTCCAACCAGTGCCCAGCTATGCTCCCCCCGCCCCGAGAAGTGGGGGAAGGAATGGGGCCGAGAACTTTAAGTCTCCCGGGGCCCTAGGCAGCATGACTGGGCAGAGGCCTCTCCTCTCTCCCGCCTCGCCAGAGCCTGCAGCCGCGCAGCCTCCGGCATCGCCTCCATCTTCTCCCCGGGTTAGAATATTCCAGAGTTCAGTCCCCGCCCCTCCTGGTTACCCGGGAAACCGCAGATAGGGAGGGGGAGAAACGGAGAGGAGGAGGAGGAGGAGCGGGGGGCGGGACTTCCTGAGGGTGACGCGCCCCGGCTCCTCTACAAAACTCGCCGGATGCGACGCCGCGAGCGGAACTTTCCAGAAAACTCGGCGAGAAGCGGAGGGTAGCAGCTGCTGCTGCCCGAGCTCCGCGCACAAGAACTCGCGCCCCCTTCCCCCATCCACTCTTCTTCCACTCCATCCCCCAACAACCCAACCGGCTTCTGGGCAGTACCCTCTCACCACACCCCGGACAGGCATTTCGACACCGGGCGTACCACGAGCGTCGCTCCCCGGTAAGTCCATCCCTTCTCCCTCACCGCAACTCGGCTCCCCGTCCCTACCCCGCCTCCCGCCCCGTCGGGGGTAAGGAGCCGTAGCGCCTACGAGACCCGGAGAAGCCGTTGGCATCTCTCCCGAGGGAGCGGGGGCCGGTGCCCCAGATTTCCGAGGGGTGTCGCCCCCGCTCTGCAGCCCGGGCGTTAGACAATGGGCTTGGCGTCCTCCCTCGCGTCTCCTCCGCCTGCCCCGACCCTCCTCCTCTCCTCCATCTTTCCGCGATGTTGTTCGCTTTCCCCCAATCCTCTTTCCTTCCCCTCCCCCCACCCCGGTCTCCTCGGTTCGTGCGCGGGGGGGGGGGGCCGCACCTATTTGCTGGGGTACGGGGGCGCTGCGTGCGCGCTCCCCTCTGCGTGCGCGTCCCCGCTCCCTCGCAGCCTCCTCTTGGATGAGCCCTCCGTTGTGTTGGGGGGAGGGGGTGAACGCTTCATCTCCTCCCAGCGCTCCTCTCCTCCAGGCTCCAGAACGCTCTAGAGAGGTGGTGACCTCCAGTCAGGTCAGCAGGCATTGATTTAGGTCCTACTACGTGCCGTGCACAATGCTGAGCGCCGGGGATACCGAGAATGGCGGAAAAACCCGCAAATCCCGCTCCCCCTGGACCTCCCGTTCAAATGGGGGAGACAGCGCACGAATAGCTACGTGGAAACGGAATGGATCGGGAGGACGCTCCCGGGAAGCCTGCTGTGGGAGCTCCCACGTGAAAGGAAGCCTTGGGAGGTAGAGGAGGGAGAAGATCTGGAGATACGGACTCGCTTCCCCCGGCTTTGCCAAGGAGGGAGATGGAAAGAATCTCCCGTGTGCCTCTGCCGTTGGGGCTGTCTTTTAAAAAAACAAACCCCCCAAACCCTCGTGGCACGATAAGGCGGTCAGGTGACGTGCACAAATTGCACAGGATTAAGCTGTGGCCACCGCGGAAACCACTGGTCTTTAAACATCCGTTTTCATCAGGAGTCCAGCAATATTAAGCACCTGCTATGTGCCTGGTACTGTACTAAGTGCTGGGGATGATTAAAAAAAAAAAAGGCAAAAGACCAGTCCCTAATCTGGAGATCGAAATCTAATGGGGGAGACAACATACAATTGTATATAAGCAGAATACACTCGGGATAAATTTGAGATAATAAACGAGGAGAAGGCACTGTAGTTGAAAGGGATCTGAAGAAGCTTCTCATAGAAGCTTGATTTTAGCTGGGTCTTGAAGGAAAGCCAGGAGGTGTGGATGAGGAGGAGGAGAATTGGGGGAAGGGAGAGGATACGGTGAAGTCCAGTGATAGTGTCTCCCTTAGAGGCTTAGAAAAGAGGCTAGTTTCACTAGATACCTGAAGGGAGAGGGAGGAGAACAAAGGTGTAAGAAAACAAATCTATGTAGGGACAAGATTTTTTTAGTAGATAACGGGTAATACCTGGTTGTGTAGCAAGCCCCCAGTTCTCAAAGTCTCCAGTTTATTTACACTTCATTTTTTGCTTTATAACCACACATTTCCTCAGGGTGTGGGATGGGAAACAAAAAAGAGAGAGATCTCGAGAGTGTTGGTAAGAGTGTGAAATAATAGGAATATTGGAATGATTAATAGTTAAAACCTTAGGGTTTGCCTATGTGTCAGATTAATCGATATTTTCCATTATCTAGGTTTATGAAATGTGGCCAGATTTTTAGCTCAGAGGTTGGGTGTTGGCTTGATAATAACATTCTGAAATTTATAATCTGATTAGGTGGTCTCAATTGATTTTAAGGTGAATCTTTAGATTGAAAGTACCTTAAAGTTGTGGTTTTAATTGCAGGCTATAAAAATGGTGAAGGAAACTACTTATTATGATGTTTTGGGGGTAAAGCCCAATGCCTCCCAGGAAGAACTAAAAAAGGCATATAGAAAACTAGCCTTAAAATATCACCCAGATAAGAATCCAAATGAAGGAGAAAAGGCAAGTATTTTTTTTACTTTTAAAAAATTTTTACTATTTACTAAAGATAGTGAAAGAAAAAATCCTTTGATGAAATTAACTTTGATAACAGTTGTCCTGTTTTTGTTGCAGGTCCTAGTCTGAACTTATTTAAGTTTTGTTGCTGTTATTTACATAGCTGTAGACAGTTTTACGTAAATATATATTAAATGTGAAGTGAATAGAACTTAGATTTCAAAATCTTGGCTAAATCTTCCTAAAAGAACTTACTTTACAATATGGCCTTTTTTTTTTTAAATAGTTCAAGCAGATTTCTCAAGCTTATGAAGTGCTTTCTGATGCAAAGAAAAGAGATTTATATGACAAAGGTGGAGAACAAGCCATCAAAGAGGGTGGTTCTGGTGGTGGCTTTGGTTCTCCAATGGATATCTTTGATATGTTTTTTGGAGGAGGTGGAAGAATGCAAAGGGAAAGGAGAGGTAAGGTTTTGCCAATCTAAAAAAAGGATAAGAACAATGACACTAATTGGGAGAGCTCATTGTTAAGCTTCAGAAGTTTACTGAAGTATAGCAGTGTGTGATTGCAATATTACACTGACTTTAAAACGTGAAACTTTGGGGCAGCTAGGTGGTGCAGTGGATAGAGCAGCAGCCCTGAAGTCAGGAGGACCTGAGTTCAAATCCAGCCTCAGACCAAACACTTGGTGCTTACTAGCTGTGTGACCCTGAGCAAGTCATTTAACCCCAGTTGCCTAAAAAAACCATGAACACTTTAACTTCATAAATAGGCACTCCTCACCTATCCTGTGCATATTTGTAGATTAAAAAAAACAAACCTCAGTGTTGCTTGATTCTCGGTATCCAGTCTTACTGGATTTGTCTATATTTTTGAGAGATTCCTGATGTTACTTGACTTGAATTATCCTTTTTGTTGGCTTTGTGTCTTCTGCAATTTGAAAAGCATACCATTTTTAAGTCATTGACGATATTTTGAATAGCACAAGGCAAAAGAAAACACTGTTATGGTGCTTACTCAGCTAGATAATTCCCTCCAGTTTGACACTGATCCATTAATCACTACTCTGAGTCTAGTCATTGAGGATTTTTGTAACCTTTTGCTGTTCCCTCCCCATTGTTGCCCTTAGTTAATTTTTTTAAAAAAGAAAAAAACCCCTCAAAACATGCATAGTCCACCAAAAGAAGTTCCTAGCATTGTCCATGTGCAAAATGTGTGTGTCTTGCTTCATTTTCATCCCCTGTAGTAGGGTAGGATTCATCCTCAGCCCTCTGGACTTGGGAGCTTATCATTCATTTTCGTGGTATTGATCAAAGTTCTGAGTCTTGTTTTTCGCTATACTGAGTGTTGTGGCCGTTGTTTAAATTTTCCTAGTTCTAAGCTCACTTTACTTTGCTTCATTTCTTGTGGTCTTTCCAGTTTCTTCCCAAGCTGTCCCATTCCAATTATTTCTCATATCAGTACTGTTCTATTATATTCATATATTATTTAGCCCTAATCATTGAATGTAGATTTTACCCAATTATTTACCATGTAGCTCATCTCACAATTTGTCCACAATGAAATATGGAGCAACTTTTGTCAAAATGCCTTGCTGAAATCCAGAAATATAATAGATAAGGATAATTCCATAGACATCACCTTGATAAAAATCTTATTAACACCCTTTTGAAAAGGGGTAGTCATCTGATGTAGTTTGTTGATAAAACTGTTGGCTCTTGGGTGATCACAAATTCCTTTTATAAATGCTCAAATCGTATCTTTACTGCAATTTAAAACAAATTATTAGATCACTGTGACTTAAAATTGAAAGAATTAAAGGTCCTCATTGAAAATTGGAGTATTCAGTATTCTAGTATCTCCCACTCTCCATTATCTTGATTGATTTTTCAAAGATGATGGAAGATTGTTCAGTATTCTATCTCTTGTGTACCTTCAGTATATTTATGTATTTTTTCCAGGCCTGGTGACTTGAAGAACTCATTGAGCTTGGGTGTGTTCTCATAGCCTCACTTATTTGGGTATTGGTTCTCTTTTAAAGCTCTTTTAACTTGCTCTTCACACGAAGTATAACTCTTTAGAGCTTAGTAGAATTTAGAGTTGAAAGAGACCTAGGTTCATTTTGATCCGTCTCTCTCATTTTATAGTTGGGACATGGGCTTGTAGAGACCAGGGTATTGTGATATGGAGAGCTGGATTTTGTTGTCTGGAAGACCTGGATTCACATTCCACCTCATACTTGGTAATGGGCAAATCACCTAAGCTAAGCCGTTGACTCTTAAGTGGCCTGGTAATTTTCTCACAGGATTTTTTGCTTTTCTCTTTAGTTAACTCTTGCCAATCAAAAAGAGCAGTTGACCTCCTTTTATCTCTTAAATTATCACAGAAAATGCAGATTTTCATTATGATGATCTGAGTTCTAAATGGATTTTTCCAGAAAGTTATAGTTCCTTGTTTAAATTATGGAAAGTCTGGTGTTGAGTCTGGTGGGGCCTTTGGCTAGTTTAAAGCTCTAGCCTTTGGCTAGTTAAAACTCAGTTTTCTAGGTAAAGTAAGAGGATTGTTCTAGATGTCGTTGACATCCTTAGGTTCCATGTTCTATGATCCACTATTCCTTTTGTCTCTTATTCCATTGTTCTAGTCCTAGATCAGATCTTTGCTGCTCATATCAGTCAAATGACTGGAAGGTTAAGAGCTCTGGTTCACATTAATAGTTGATCCTAAAGGCAATCTTCACACGGTTGTTGTTTCTTTGTGTAATATGTATATTTTTTCTTTTTGGCAGGGCAGTTGGGTTAAGTGACTTGCCCAGGGTCACATAGCTAGTAAGTGTCAAGTGTCTGGTTTAAGACAGGATTTGAACTTGGATCCTCCTGACTCTAGGGCTGGTGCTCTATCCACTGCACCACCTAGCGGCCCTTGTGTACTATATTTTAAAAAGCAAAATGTATTCTAATTTAGTATTAGGGGTGACATTCAGATGGGATGAAATGTAACAATGATTAAGGGTGAGACTCAAAACTCTAGTTAAATGAGGAATGAGGAAATTTGGTTTGAGAGCAATTTTTCTTGGAGGGGAGAAAAACCTAGATTTTGGATGCAGTTTAATAAACATATGATATGCCCAGTTAACTTTGGGCTGTATTGATTAAGAAGCATAGTATCTAGTTCACTAGAAAGATAGTCTTGATCTCGATGCTGGTCAGATCACAGCTTGAATATTCACTAGCTCTGGAAACCACATTTTAAGAGTATCTAAGTAAAAATAAATTAGCACTCATTGTGATCTGTATAGTAAAACAATGTCATGTGAAAATTAATCTCTCTTCCACACCCCCAAGAGCCTAGGGAAAGAATAGGCCTAGTCTGTACGATATTTGAGAGAGCCCTCCAGCATATAAATGTCAGTATATTTGTCTTCAGAATGCAGAAAGAAGACAAATAGTTGTAAGGTAAGGGGTGGGGAGAGGACGGAGTGGCAGGGAGCAGAGTTAAGCCCAACAGTTAGTAATTCGGGCATTCTACTTCTGTTTAAGATTATTAACACTTTAGAAATTGCCAAATGGTGACTTGCTGGAAGTGTGTCCTTTTCATGTGAATTACTTTCCCAACCTTGTATCAGAAGAAAATATCCAACTTTATAATTATTTAAAATAAAAAATGTGTTCCAAATGACATGAAATAAGTACATATACACAATGTAGGTTGATTTGAACAGCGGTCTCCAACATAGAGCATCTTTTCCCAAACTAACTTGTACATGGAATACCTTGACATGTAAAATATGAGTATTGTTTATATAGGTTTGTGAAGTGCTTTGCCTATATTCTTATCCTCACAACCCTGGGAGAAAGTTATTTTATCACTGTTTTATAGAAGAAGCTGTCTTTAGAAGTTTAAATGACTTTCCTGGGGTCATGCAACCAGTAAGTGAGGTAGAATTCAGACTTTCCTCTTCCTAATTATAAGTCTGGCAACTCTGTACCACCTTAAAAATTCAAGAGACAAAAGATTATCTGTAATAAAGTTCAGGATGGGATTAAAAATTTTCAAGTGGGCTAGCGAAAAGGAATTTTGTTCTTAAATGTGTTCCTAGCTTTGGCTTGAACTTTCAAATATGTGATACCATGTGTTGTGTCCTCTTTCACTTGTGACAAATCTTAAAAGCTAGAAATGGGACCGGAGTCTAGGAAGTAAGAGGTTGAAAGTAATGTGCTGCTTCCTTTGTGCCCTCTTAAAACAGTTGTTTGGAAGTGGCTTTCTTAAAATTTCAGCTGTTCTCCCACAGATTCCCAGTTTTGAAGAAAATAGAACTTGTAGGGTGAAGGTGTCCAGTATTAATAATATGCACAGGATACACAGTGGAATCAGTTTTTAAAGATTGGTCATATTAAGTTACATAGCACAAATTGGAATTTATAACTGACATGTATAGATGCTTGAATAAAGTTATTCACTACTTGATTGCAGGTAAAAATGTTGTTCATCAGTTGTCAGTGACCTTAGAAGATTTATATAATGGTGCAACGAGAAAACTGGCTTTGCAAAAGAATGTAATTTGTGATAAATGTGAAGGTATGTTTAAAAATCTTTCTGTATAGTCTTATAATTACAAATTCCTGTTTTAAGAATCTTATTTTCACTTTGAGATCCTCAGTTATCATTGTGTTATGCTCAAAGAATTACAGGACTTTTAGATTTGGGCGCAGTAGCAACATGTTTGCCATCTTGCATCAGATGGTGCATCTAATCAACAGAAATTTTTAGAGGGTGAGAGCAGGAAATTGAAGAAGATAGATTGAGACTCTGCTGAGGAGGAGGAGTTAGCTTAGATGAAAGGACTTGTTGAGGATTAGATGAGATTATTTTATCTTCCTTACATCTAGGAAGGCCTGCTAGGATAGGAATCCTGGTAGAAAAGAGATATTTCACTTCCACCTGCCCATTTTTCCAGATTAAACTTAAAGGTTCAAGTGAGAAGCTTCAGCTTTCTATTAATTCCAAAATGAAGTATAGGCAGATTATATATGGATGGCACAGTGGTGGGAGAAAAGTGGGGCATAGGGGGAGGGAGGGAGGGAAGGAAGTATGAAGTGGTAGAAGGCTAGGTCTGTCATTGTAAAACCTTTTACAGTTAAGCTATTTGTAGATAGGTAAGAATTCAGGGTAGAAAAGAGTAGGAGTAGGCACTGGCACCTGTGCTCATAACACATGATCTGGGCTCCCCTTGTGCCCTGTGACCGGAGAGGTAGATAAGATCCATCATGCTGCTTGAATAAATAGGGTGATAGGACTTCAATCCTGGTAAGGTGAGCTAAGCCTTGCCATCTTTCCTGCTTCACCCTCTAGCCTACCCCGACATTGACATTGCTATTCTTATCAACTATCCTAAGTTCCAATAGCTTTTCCATTATGTAGCTGAACTACTTTTTATTTCCCACACCAGTTAGAATGTGAATGTCTTGAGAAAAGGAATTGTCTTAACCCCAGTTTTTATCAGGGTGCTTAGCTATAGTAAGTGCTTAATAAATGCTTTTTCAGTCATTTATAGGTAAGCCTGTACCTTACTTATATCTTCAGCTTTCTCAGATATTCCTGTTTCTGGTAGCTCACTGTAAGAAGATGATGTTTTGAGGTGTGTTGGTATGTACCTTTAATACTCAACTCTATGTTATAAAGCTATTTCAGTTATTGAAATTTTTATTTTTCTGTGGTTCAGGACGGGGTGGAAAGAAAGGAGCTGTAGAATGCTGTCCTAATTGCAGAGGTACTGGAATGCAAATAAGAATTCATCAGATAGGACCTGGAATGGTTCAGCAAATTCAGTCAGTTTGCATGGAATGCCAAGGGCATGGGGAGCGAATCAGCCCAAAAGATAGATGTAAAAGCTGTAATGGAAGGAAAATTGTTCGAGAGAAGAAGATTCTGGAGGTTCATATTGACAAGGGTGAGTATCTGGAGTGATTTTTTTTTTTAACCTTTAATTAACTTGCCATATTTTAAAAAGAAGCCCATGTTCCAATTATGTTCAGTCACCTTATGATTGTGAATATACTAGATAAATCATTTACAAAGTATATGCTTAGCCTTTTCAGAGTGAAAGGAGGAACCACTTTAGTAAATACCTCATAGTAATCATATTATTCTGAAAGTGTAGATACTAGTTAGAGTGATGGTTATAGGATGCTTACCAGTAGATTTAAATTTGCTTGGTAAGCAGAGAAAGAAATGTCTGGAAGCCTAAAGTGGCCTTTTAAAAATTAATAATGCCTGGGTCTAGTAGAAAAACTGGAATGGCAAACCAGTAATTTCTTTAAAACATGTAATATATGCCTTTATTCAAATTCATATAAATTGTATAACAGGATCAAGGAAAGGATCTCTCTGTAGCATTCTCCTATAGTATTTAAGCCCTAAAAACTTTAATTCACATACTACAGAATTGTCCTTTAATTGAGCAAAGCATTTTTTTGGTCCTCGTACTCAAGTTTTCAAAAGAAAAGGATATGACCTATTTTTTTCTTAAGAAGAAATTGGTGTTATGGATTTAACGTGTATTAAAAATATGGAGGGAACAAAAACATGTCTTTGTTCTGTTGGAAGTTGTTGAAGTGATTGGTTTTACTGTACTGAATTGTGTTAGGAGTTCATTGGATCCTACTTAATTAGCTTCTTCCTCAGCTTTATTTTGTAATTAAGTAATTAGACAATTAAAAATGTGGACACAAAGAGGGACATCTATTCACCTAGCTTTTTCTGTAGCCAAAATGGGGTACTACTAGAATCAAAGCCGTAGCAGTTTTGTGTCACACAGCTCAAGCCTATATGGCCTAGTGCAGAAGCGACAAATTCACACAGCCAAATTGGATTAAAATATAATTGGGAAATGTTTAACAAAATGAATTAAAAATGTAGTACAACAGAATGTTCATTTGTGTTTTGCTAAATCCACATGCAT